GCTTCCTGCTGAGCCGGAAGCCAGATTCGGGGCTTGATCCCAGGACCCTGGGATCATGACCTGAGCCGAAGGCAGACGCTTAATGACTGAGCCACCCAGGCGCCCCCAGAATGTAGCTGTTCTATCCTGACTTCTAACACTATACATGAGTTTTGCCTGTTTTTGAACTTTATTTGGATGGAATCATAAAGTATGTGTTCTTTCCTGTCTGACTACTTTTGCTTGTTTTGATGGTTCTTTTTTTAGGATTTTTAAATTTTTTTTCAAGTAATCTCTACACCCACTGTAGGGCTCGAACTCACAACCCCGAGATCAAGAGTCCCACGTTCCACCAACTAAGCCAGCTAGAGGCCCATTTTTGTGGTTTTGAAACTCACCCAAGTTATAACACATATTGTTGATTCACTGCTGTATGCTATCCTATTGCGTGACTACACTACACTGTAACTCTTTATGTGTTCTGCCATTGCTGGGGGCTTGGATAGCTTCCAGTTTAGGACTGTTGAAATCGTATTTCCATGAACCAGCACCTACATATTTTCTGATGAGCACAAGTATGGACCCAGGAGTGGAATTGCTAGCCTATCCAGTGTACACATGTCTTTGCTGATATGCATGTGCTGTAAATGGCCATATCCTCCTCTAGAAAGGTGGTAGCAGCCCGTGGTGGTTATCAGCCTTTCCAATGGTCAGTTTCTACATCTGTAATGGGGATAGAGCCCTGTCCCAGGGTGTCATGGGGAAGAGATGAGCTAATGTGTGGAGATGTGCATCCAGTACTCAGCAAACCCTCCGTACCAGTTGGCAGTCATAAGGAATATTTTCTCACCAACAGCAGCTTCTAGGGAGGCTGGAGAATTCTGAGCTGCAGACTCTTGAAGAGATGCAACCTGAGTCTGAGACCAAAAAAAAAAAACAAACCCAACAGGAAATGAGGTGACGAGCTGGTCCCAGAAATTAGTTGCTTCTGCAACAAGAGGAGAAGAGATGTTTAAGGCATGGGAAGCACTGGGAGGAGGGTGGAGGGGGCTGGCTGTTCATCAGCCCAGCACCTGTTTGGAAGGTTCTGCATGAACTGTACCTAGTCCCCAGGAACCAGAGGTAAGGGCCTTGCACGCCAGGGTATATGGGCAGACAGGAGATACTGAGTAGCGGATGAGGGCAGGCTTGGGAGATGGGTCCCAGCTTGCCTCATGGCAGGTTGTGTGGTCAAAAGTGTAGCTACAGTGTTCAAATCGGAGATAGAAGAGTAGCTACTCCCCTACAGTGTTGTGTCGAGGCTGAAGTGAGAAGGTACAGGTTGGTGTTGGTGTTTCGTTCTGTGCGTTTCATAAAATAAGCCCTTGTGTGGACGAGACCATTATGAATCCTGGCATGCACAAGGGCCTCATGCCAGCTGTGGAAGAAACATGGCCCACCAGCCCGGAAAGGGTCATTAAGAAAAACTCCCATACGTAGGTTTTCTAAAACCATTGAGATCATATGTCATGCACAGTGCAATTATCAAAATCCTATTTCTTTTCCTTCCAGTTCCCTCGCTGCACCAGATTCTCTGTGTCTCACTGCGTGTCTCCCAAATTACCTAGCACCAGCCTGAACCGCTTTTCCCTTCCATACTCCTCTGTCTTGCAGTATGGGACCAACTGTCTGAAGCCCCTTGCTCAGCTAGGAAAACACCTGTCTTCAGGAGTGGGAGGGGAGGAAGTCAGACAAACGGATGGGATCCCTTTAGTGGGCTGGGGAAGGGGAGAATGACCTGGTTCACGTTCTTGCTGTCCCGGGAGCTGCTGTTGTATTGCCAAGGGGATCTGAAGGAATAACCCCAGAGGTGCATTGTCAGGAAGAATGGGAAACCCTTTGTTGGATTCTTCCTCTGGTGGTGCTCAGTGTTGCCTGGGTGGGGAATGCAGGAGAACAATGGAACAGGAGGGTGGGACGAGGCAGGAGGATGTCACCAGCCTCCTGCTGGTGGCTTCTGAGTTCAGGGATCACTCATGTCTTCCTGTTTCTCTCTCCCACTCTGCCCCCCTCCTTCTCCTCCTCCTCCTCCCCTGCTTCTCAGTCTCCTCAGACCAGATCGAGCAGCTCCACCGGAGGTTTAAGCAGCTAAGTGGAGACCAGCCCACCATTCGGTAAGACCTGCGGTTGGGTTTGGGCGTTGGGCAGGTCCACGGCCCTTGAGGATTCCTCTTGCAGCTCTTTTCTTTCTCTGAGTGCAGGGTGACTCTGAAAGAGGCCCTGGGTTGCCCCATTTCCTGCGGCAGACCTGTAGTTGTTGTAATTCTTTTGGTCCCTTCTAGACGAAATGTTCTAGAGCCAATCTAGAGCCACACCTGTTTCTCTCGGGATCAGGAATGTCTAACCAGAGTGAAGACAGTGGGCCAGTCAGCCACACGTACCCTACCCTGACTTCCTCAAATGGGACATGCTTCTGGCCTCTGTGCTTAGAATCCCAGATAGACGTTGAAGGTCTGTTGAATGTCTCTTGACTCCGCTTCCTCTTGGTGGTTACTTCCAGCCTCAGGCAAGATGGCAGGAGCAGCCTCTGATTTCTGTCAAGGAAACTGGCCATCCTACATTGTGTTTTTAGTGTTAATCTTTTAGAAGCTATGTAGGTTTAAGGAGGAATGCCTTAAACTGTTCTCCTTATCCCACAACAGTGTGTTCAGTCTTAGATGCTGGTTGAATTATATAAAACTAGGTTAGTGAGAGGTCCTGGTTAGCGTGTTTGGTCATCACAGAGTTGCCAAGAAGCTTTGAGTCAAACTGTTGCAAGCAGGGTTTCTAATGCAAGGTAAACAGCACTATACCACAAACTTTCTAACAGATGCAGTTTCCTAAAATAAATATTCCAGGTCTGAAGTTTACAGTCTTCAAGCTTCAAAACAAACATTTGAATAATCCAGGGAAACTTCCTTCATCTTAGTAAACAGACTTAAATTTTACCTAAGTTTTATGGAAACTGACAGATAAAATATCCACTTTCCCTGGTCTGTCTAAACAGAAGCATGTTGTTAATCCCATGCATTGTATTCTCAAAGCTTCCATTCCCAGAGCTTAGAGTCTGGTGATCGCACGGTTCCTGTGGCCTCTTGTCTCAATTTGATTATATCCAAGGCAGAATGAGAGCCGGTTAGGACTGACGTCTTTAATTCTATCCAGGGCACCTGCTAAGCCCAGTAAAGGAGAGGGAGTGAGCCCAGCAGAAAGTCACCTGGCTTCTCGTTGGCTCCGAGAGTGTTACATGTCTGGGTCGGAGCCAATCACCATGAGATGCTAGAGATGCAAATGGGTTTTCCCTAGCGCTGTGAGGGAGTGGAGCTGGGTCATCAGCCAGGGGCAGGGATGGAGGGTGGAGTGGTTTCTCAAGGGCAAGTTGGGCTGAGGAGTGGGTGCAGGGTGGCACCACCTCAGCCGGGCACCTGGGCGTCTGAGGGGAGGTAACACTGTGCACCTGGATGTTGGACCGTGGAAGTGGCAGGGCACCCCTCCCCCTCCTCCCATCAGAAGTTTCTGGGCCCGTGCTCTGTGCCAGGTGCTCGGTACCTGGGCTGGTGGATGCAGCTTCCGGTGGGTGATGTGTGAAAGTGGGGCCCCCTCTCTCAAGAGCATTTTCCAGCAAGCGATGTCCTCAGCCCTGGACCAAGCTGCTGTGCCTGGGGGTGGCACTTGGCAGCCGGCCTGTCCTCGGGGCCTCTCCCAGTTTGAGATTCTAGCATCCGAGCTCCGTGTGGCCCAGTGTATGTGCTTTACACACACTCTTTCCCAGCTGGAGTGGTGCACAGATCACTCGGGAACCTTCCTCATGTAGGCTTGGCCTCAACCGGTGTGTGGGGCCTGGGACCCTGCATTTCTAACTGGCACCTGGGCTGCACGCCCCCTGAGCGCCTGGCCCTGGGGCGTAGTAAGCACTCAGCAGAGGCCGCCCGGGGTCGGTCCCCGACCCGGCTCTCCTGCCTCCGGGGCTCAGATGTCTGTCTGTGCCGTCCTAAGCACCACCTCTGTCCTCAAGCCTGTGGCCTCCCTCCTCTGGCTCGCATCCCTCTGCCTAAATCCAGCGCGGCTCGTAGGTCTTAGCAGCAGCGGGGTTTCCTCCGGGAAGTCCGCACCCTGTCAGGCTCTCCGGGCCCCTTACGTCCTCCCCGTGGCCACAGGACGCAGCGGTTGCTGCCTCCCCGTGGGACGGCGAGTGTGAACGTGGGTGTGATCACCTGGGAACCGTGTTACAACGCAGGTTTGACTCACAGGTCTGGAGCGGGACCCCAGACTCTGCATTTCCAACGAGCACGCGTGGTCACGGGCAGGTCGGCCCCCCCCAGCACCGAGGGTGGTGCCCAGGAGCCCCTCTGGGTTGGGTGGGCGGAGGCTGCATTCCCACAGGCGCTGAGGGGCCCGGGTTGCAGGCTCCTGCCTCCCACTTGTGGGCACATGAGCCGTGGGCTCTGCACACCCACCCCCAGGACCATCCCACGCATCATGCTTTTCCCACCTGCCCTCACGCAGGCCCTGAGTGTGTCTGCTTAGACCCGGTGAGCAGCCCCTGCTCCCAGGCCTTGGGGCCCCTTCAGGTCGTGTCCATACTCTTTAGCTGGGGACCACCAAGGTCTCCGGGTGCTGGTGTTTGCTTTGCTGAGGTCTCCTCGAGGACACCGCCTTTTCCAAGATAACCCTCCTACCCCCTGCACTCCCACAGCCGCCTCCTGGGGGTGCCCCATCCCCCCCGTTGACAGCGCAGAATCATAACTGTGCCCCTAACAGACCGCTGGCCCCATGAGGGGCAGGAACTGGGTTTTTGTTCCTGGCCCTAGTGCTGTGTCCAGGGCTGGTGACCTACTAGAGGCGTGGGAGGACCATTACTGGTTGCTCTCTCTCATTCATTCAACCAAAGTCATGAGGAAGAAGCAAGAGTAAGGATTGCCAAAGTTCTTCATAAGCCATGAAGCGTGGAATCTGTGAGACCCGTTGTTAACGCCGTGTCCCTCCATAGGGTGTGCAAGTCCCCGGGGGAGAATTCAGCCGGGGCCTGGTTCGTAGGAGCGTTCACGGATGTAAGTGGTTATTCATTGAGCATGCTTTCTGTGCTGCGTAGCTGGAGAATGTTACTTTCGTTTTCTAAAACCCGACCGGAAGTAGTGGTAGGAACAGCTGTTCTCCCCATTTTACAGATGGGAAAGTCAGGCTCAGAGAGGTGCTGTGCCTGTTCCCGAGTCACAGAGCTCCTCCGTGGAGGAACGGGGACTTGAGCCCAGGGCTGAGATCCCTCTGTAAGGAAGCTGTGGGCATTGCCGTAACTTGGGAGTGGCTTCTGAGGACCTCAGTCTCCCTGCTCTGCCATCCAAGGACTGTCCGCCCTTATCATCCCGGGGTGGGCATGTATCATCTCCATCCCCAAAGCCCCAGCTCCAGTGTCTCGCAACGTCTGCCGGGAGGCTGGTGTCAACTGTGGGGTGACCGCCCAGCCCAGCGGGGAGGAGGTGATAGACCATAGTGTTTTATGCAAACAGGTCTGCCTGAAGGGCCCCCCGCTCCCAGAACCACTTTGCCTGATCCTACTCTGCCTTTCAGGACCTGGGGAAGGGGGAAGGGGCAGGTTTTCGGGTCCCCCAGGCATTCCTACCTATCCTTCCAGGGCAGAAGGGATGAACAGCCCTGGGCTGGGATCTGGTCCCCGGCACTGTCCCCACACTGCCAAGGGTTTCCCCAGGGACCCAGGGGCCGAGCCTTCAACCTCAACGTCCAGGATGCTGTGGGCTATGCTGGGGTTTCTGAACAGGGAAGGGCGCTTCGCTTCATTAGCATCCAGCTTTGTGAAAAGCATCGCCCGGCGTCCCCCAGGTGAGGCCCCCAGCACCACGGTCTGCGAGGGGTGTGGGAGGTGGCACGCTTTGCCCTGCCTTCTCAGCGAATGAGGTGCCCCGAGAGCTTATTAGGATCTTGTTGGGCAGGGGTTGGGGTAGGAAAGGGGAGGGGTAAATACCTCAAGTGCAAAAAGCCCCTCAAAAGTGACCATGTACACCTGCAGGCTTTAAACATAGACTACTAGTAAGTTTTGTAAGTTGCATTAAAAAAGTAATGAAGAATTGAGTTTCTGAATGTGTGACTTTGATAAATTGTATATAGCTTTTTAAAAAAAAATTCCCACAACCTCAGAACCACTGGAAGGGATTTAATTTTAACCCACCATCTCCTGCCCGTGTTTGGTTGGTCCCTTGTCCTTCTGAAAATGATCTGAGGCTGTCCGGGGACGGCCTTACCCTGAGGCCCCAGAGCTGCCAGGTGAGAGCCCCACTCTGTATGCATTCCTTACAAGGCCCAGCACCTGAATAAAAAAAAACCCTAAAGCTGCATTTTCCTTTAAGGCCCCCCTAAATTGTATATTTCAGGACCCCCAAAACCTGAGTCCACGCTGACACAAGTACTAAGCTCTGAGTCCTCTTGGAGAAATGCTTGAATAGAAAACGGTCATGGGACACATTGGTCGGGTACCCATGCTGTGCATGTAGACTTCTATCCTCAAGGCTTTTCTTCCAGCAGGGAAGCCCCTCCCCTAAGTGGATCCCCAAACAGATAGGATTTTAGATCACGAGGAAAATACAGTAATTGCCTCTGGCACTTTGTCTTTCTTTAGTTGGGGCCACTTAAGTGGTGAATGCCTTAAACAGCAAATTTTACTTCCTGAGCGCGCCGTGGCCGGCTCACCACCCTCCAGAAATAGATGCTGTGGAATCCTTCAAAGTGACGCAGGCCAGGAGGAGGTCTGATTAGATAGATCCACATTACGAAAATATTTTTAGATTCATCAGGCCTCTGAATGTGGAGTGAGTCCTGGAGTAAACAGAGCCACAGACATACAAGGCAGAGAAAAAGGGAGCAGTGCTCATTGTTGATCGCCACCCAAGTACAGAGCAGCATTCTGGTTTTTCTTAATATTTTTATTATTTGAGAGAGAGAGAGAGAGTGAGCGAGAGCATGAGGAGGGGGAGCTGCAGAGGGAGAGAGAGAAGCAGACTCCCATGCTGAGCAGAGAGCCCAACGCGGGACTCGATACCAGGACCCTGGGATCATGACCTGAGCTGAAGGCAGACGCTTCACCGACTGAGCCCCCCAGGTGCCCAGGGCAAAGCAGCATCCC